AATGGAATCTATTTCCTATATTTCCTATTTATTTCCTATATTTTCTATTGGGGAATAATTATTTGTATTGTATTTAACCAATTTTACATAATGCTATTAACACTGGAATAAATTAAATTCATCTTTTCTCCATCTTCACCCAGTACTTTGTACTTATCTCATCTATTTTTAGTGTAAAACTTCAACATGCTATCTGAAGGCCCAAAGGTAGCCATGGACCTCCAAACACATACCTACCTATTCTAAAATGTTATATTGTACAAGGTGGACAAGGCCTTATCTTCATCAATAATACATTTGAGATCAATCTTGAGACAAAGCAGAATGTAGCCCCAAAATCCCTCTCAGTGAATGTGTACAGCTATAAAATTGCAACATTTTCTTGTGAATGTACCCTGATAAATAATTCTAAGAACTTACCTATGAATGCAAAATATTGTGCCTAAACTTGTCTGATATCTAATGACCGTGGTATTCTGCTTGGTCATCCTACTTCAAAATAAATAAATAAATAGGTAGGTAGATAGCTTTGCTACCTCCTTACTAGCTGGGTGAAATCCAAAGTCATATTACGCTATACACATGATCAATAAAATCAGAATGATAAATTACTATTAGTAAGCTAATTAATCTTATGTCTCCAAATCCTGGTTCATTAAACTGGACAGGCCATGTTTTTTTAATTATACGAAGAGAATAGGCACAGGCAAAAAGGCACAGACATATGAATTGGGAAGAACTATAACAAGTACAATTTCTCTTTTAGTATTAGGGTTCACAATGCTATTGTACAGTTTTCTTGGAGTCCAGATGCAATGTGATATTTGATGAGTTGCCTCTTGTTTTCCCAGTGGAAAAACACTGTCATGGTCTGTTGTACAGGAATATTATTGCTTAGTGTTTTTGTTCTTTGTGAAAAAAGAGAGAGAAAATAAAGTGGGAAAATAGCCGTTTAGAAGATGAGAAGGGAAATCCCTTCTCTAGTTACTATGCCAGAGTGTATATCTGATGCTCCAAATTCATTCTGATTGATTCACACTAATTTGTTTTCCACGCATGTGCATAATCCAATCAGTCTGAATCTAATTGGACTCAGAATTAGATCAATATTCTCAATTGATCTGAATGTTCAAATTGAATTGAGTCCAATTCACACACCACTACAAGATATTCAGCACATCAGTATATCATCTAAACACTGACCAGATTGCTTTTAATTCTCAGGGAATTTTTATCAGCCTCTAAACTCAGGAATTTATTGTGCATGAAATCTCTCATTGGTTTCATACAGTTATATGTTAAAAATGACAAGAAATTTGATTAAACGTTAACATGTTCTTTTATCAGGTCAATATTCTCAAGTGAAACAGAGGAATCATATAAAAATTGCCATGTTTTATCAGCTCTGTGATTTCTTTAACCCAGGTTTTAGTTAGTCTCTCTGTCAGTAGCCAGAATAGAGCCATATGTTCAAAGTTTCAGTAAAAAAAAAAAATCATGTGATAGTTCTAAGCAGGGGTGTCAAACTTGCAATGTCACATGACATGTTGCGACATACCACACCTTTTTTCCATTGCCGGCAATGGGGTGAGCGCGGTTTTGCTATGATGCATTTGGCCGGCTGGCCGGCAGTTTGACACCCCTGTTCCACAGCATTCAGCAATGTAATGTTTCTGTCATATTTTCTATGTCTCTATCATATTCCCAATATCACAATATGATGTTTCTATCATATTCTCAGAGGCTGGGAATCAAAAATAACTGATCTCTGCTATTCTTCTATTTCTTTGATTCATTATTTCCAACAATTAGAGAAGAGTTCTGTAGTACATTTTCAGTCCAATACAAATGAATTCTTAGCTGTTTTGCCAGCCCATCTCGTACAAGGCTGGGTGCAAATATACAACATGTATAAAACTCCCCAATGGGGAAAAAAATCTATATAGGAATAGAAAAAAGTTCAACAAAGGAGAAGGGAGTGAAAAGATATAGCTTGCTGGGAAAGGCTCAAAAATATGACAAATTATGAGTTCAGTCAATGGTTCAGAATTCCTAATGTGTATCTCTTGCACATGCCATAAAAGATCTGAAAACAATGTACAATAATTTTAAAATCAGTAAGGAAAGGGATCATCTTTGAACAACATTAACAATTCCACTCCACAAAATATCTGAATTGCCAGTTGAAAACACAATGGTCAAACAATGCTAAAAAAAACATATATTAACAAAAGGACATGGCAGAAATCTAAAACACTTAAAATCATTTATTTACAGAGATGATATCTATCTCACAGAATATAGAAAGTTGGAAACACAAGTTGGAATTTGTGACAAGCCGGAACTAGAGCAATTTATTTGCTTAATATAGTTCTGCACCTTCACTGACATTTTAGAACACTGTTGGTGGCAAGAATAAGATGCGTATCACTAGGGCCTTCAGTCACATCAAGGCAAAAGAATAATACACTTTGCCCACAGGTATAAAAACACAGAGATCAACATGGAGACATTGTCGATTAATCCCCAAAGCCAGTACATTCCTTACTCCAGTCTACCTTCATAACAGTCTTAAATACAGGAAGAAAAATCAAATCAGGTGCAAGGTTTTCAATCTCCTTCACATTCTGCCACCTGGTGGGACATTTCCTCCAACTTTTATGAGCCGCTGGTGCAGCATTCATTTGACATCCCTCTCTGCAGATCACACCAACCCTGTCTCCCCTAACTCTGAAAACTATTCATCAGCAAATAGGAAACCTTAGAGGAAATCTTGTGCCACAAACACCTTAATCCACTGCAGAACCCCATCCCTGGCAACACAATTGCTGCCTGGCAGGACTGACAAAAACAAACACTTTGGGTTTTTTCTCTTTCATTTGTTCCCAATTCACTTGCCAAATCTGAACAAGAGGGCAAACCAATTGGGAGGTTTTCAACACCACTGTTAATTCCAAAAGGCTCCATCCGCTCATTCAAGAACCAAATGAAGGCACATTTCAGTGTGTGCATGTGTGTGTTTTTTAAGGTGACTTTCTCTTGCTCACTTAACATAAGACCTGATGTCTTATGTCCCTGGAAATAAATAAATTTCCAGCAGCTTCAGCACCAGCCTCCAAAGGCTGCCTGCATTCGCAAGCATGCCCCAAGGCCCAAGCCAAACAGACCAATGCAGGCATCCGCTTTCCTCCCTCCCACTCGCCGCTCTTCTTCTTGGCATCCTCACCCCCCCCCGCCCCGCCCCGCTCAGCTTCAAAGCACTTTCACGCATGCCCTCCAGCGGTAGAATTTGCCCCGGAGGGGCTCCGGAGGAAGCCCCCCTCTTACCTTCCTCCTGCATCCTCTGCAGACACCGGGTTAGATTCTTCCTCCAGCCCGGCATCCCGGCCGAGGGTCAACCTGCCGAGCGGCGTGGAGAAGCGTCGGAGGGCTCTTCTTCCCGGGGAAGACTTGAGCAGAGAGGCTGCCCCCCCCCCCGGTTTCTTTTCCCTCTGCCTCCCCCCCTCCACCTCGCCAGGCCAGCAGTGCCGGGGCAGACGAAGCAGTTAGGGAAGCGAGGCTGTCTCCGGAGCGAGCCGGCTAGGCATTGGCGGCTGCCGCGTGCTCCATCTGTGTTTTGGACCGGTAGGAAAGCAGGGGAGGGCGAGCGGAGGGGGCCGGCCGAGGATGCGAGGAGGAAGGCGCGAAACCGGCAGACCGAAGCTAGCTGCCGCGCGAGACGGAAGGCTCTCCCCCGTTTGTTGCGCGAAGTCTCTTCCTCGCTTGCCCTGGAGCGGGGAGATAGACGGCCGCGGGAGCTGCGGTTGGCCGTGGGGCGCCGGAGGGGAGGGAGGGATCTATTAAGTAGCCGCAGGAGCCTAGGGAGCTGTGCGGGAGGGGACGGAGTTTTGGCTTGGACTGCCTTCCAGACCAGCCTTCCGACGGAGCGGGCTTCCGACGCGCGGCGACCGCGGCTGAGGGGGGGGGGGACAGGGAGAAGGGGGAGACACGCGAAACTCGATCGCGCGCCCTCTCGCCCCACGCCCGCCCGCCCGCCCGCGTTTGGACGCCGTGCTCTGCGGGAACCGCGCGAGGTAGCACAATCCGCCTCCCTTTGTTGTATCTCGGACCGGGTAGTAGCGGGCCCCGGTCGTCTGAATGAGTTCCGAACGCCTACCCTCCTCCACACGTGCGAGGCTCTTTTGCCTCCTGGGGGCCAGTAGGAGTGCGCTTCCCCACCCCTCTCCCCTGTAAAAATACAGGTAGTCCTCGACTTACAACAGTTCGTTTAGTGATCATTCGAAGTTACAACAGCACTGAAAAAAGTGACTTACGGCCATTTTTCACACTTATGACTACTGTTGCAGCATCTCCATGGCCGTGTGATCAAAATTCAAATGCTTTGGCAACTGACTCATAGTTATAATGGTTTGCAGTGTTCCTGGGGTCATGTGATCACTTTTTGCGACATTCTGACAAGCAAAGTCAATGGGGAAGACAGATTCACTTAACAACCCTGTTACTAATAACTGTGGTGACTCACCTAATGACTGTGGCAAGAAAGGTCGTAAAATGAAGCAAAACTCATTTAACAAATGTCTTGCTTAACCAACGGAAATGTTAATTTCAACTGTGGTCATAAGTCAAGGATTACCTGTAATGTTTAAAAGCTGCTGTCCGGCCACCTTTGGGTTCCTCTGTAAGAAGCCAAGATGCAATTGTGGCCTTCGCTTAGCACAGTGGTTCTCAACCTTTTTAATGCCACGACCCCCAACCGGTCGTAAGTCGAGGACTACTCAACTGGTCGTAAGTCGAGGACTACTCAACCGGTCGTAAGTCGAGGACTACTCAACTGGTGCAGCACCGTTTGCAGAATGGGACTTTTGGCAGGCTCAGCAGGGCAGAGACAGCCTGGACAATTCCTATTGGCTTTTGAAAGCCAATAAAATTAGACTCTATTCAAGAGAGTCTATTCTATTGGCTTTCAAAAGCCAATAGAATAAAAGGGAGTAGCACAGTTAAGGAAAAGGGGGGAAAAAATGGCGGACTGCGTTGTTTGGCGACCCCCGTGAAATGGTCGTTCGACCCCAAATGGGGTCCCGATCCACAGGTTGAGAACCACTGGCTTAGCAAGTCCCAGGTTGTTCCCCTGAGATGGATCCCCTCACCTGGGGATGATGGTTTGAGGGTTAGCACTTCCACCCATCAGGTGAGGGAAAGCTGGGAAAAATCATTAGGGCTTGCTTCTGCCTTGGAGTGAGGTTGAGGGTAGAAGGAAGCAGCATGTGCAACACACTCTAACAGCAAAATTCTTGATGCCTCTGACACAAGGAGAGATAATCTCTGATTTGACCCACCCTGCTGGTGCAGTTTTATTTCTCAGTCAAATCAAGGGAAACCATTAATCAGTCTTTCCCATCTAGTGCCCTATAGGTGTTGAAGGCTCCCCCTCTGTGCCCCAGTGAAGACATTTAGAGGATATGGGGAGATTGCAAGAAGGAACCAAACAAACAGAAATTATGATCATATGTTTGGGGGCTCTGTTCAACACAGGGATTATGTAGTAATTGTGGAGTTTCAAGTTAAACTGTTACAAGTACTGAAAGGTATTCAGTCTAATCTGGAAGCAGACTGGACCTCTAAAGCAACCAGCAGCATTTGACTAATCTGCACCATCCAGATTTAAAGAGGACATGCCCTGCAGAAATGGCCCTGCATTGTTCAGATATTCATCTGTTGATTTCTATAGCACCCTCCATCAGGAAGAATTTCACAAAAACCTAGTAGAATCTGAACATGAAATCTGATACTTTGTAAAAACAAATGTTATAAATTGATGTTTCTTTGCTAGATAGAACTCTCCCAATAGCATCTCCTTTAAAGGATGCTTAACTTTTTTTCAGCTGAACGGTATACCCAGAGCTGGACTCCAAAAGGTGGGTGGAAGAAGTGGACAAGGGCATAAGAGGAAAGGGACGTGATTCGGTTCAATTGAAAATGAGATGAGGTGCATTTCATACGGTTCTAGTACAATTTGATGCAGAGAGTTAGAAAACTAAATTGGAGATTTTGGAGAGCTGGCTCAAAGAAGTTTCTCCTTATTGTCCATAAAACCCCATAAAGCTACTTATAGAGAAGGAGACTAGTAGTTAATCTAGCTCTGTATTGTTGACATTGATTGGTAGCTTCTCTTTAAAGTTGTATATGATCTTTCCAAATTTTACTTGCAGTTACCAAGGACTTATCCTAGAATCTTCTGTGTGCATATCATGCTGTATCTTTGAACTGTAACACTTTTCTAGAGGTTTTTTAAGGCTTCCCAGGGACAGACAAATTTGACTTGTGTATGTATCCTTTTGGTACTGTCCATGGAGTTTTCATGGCAAAGATACGGGAGTGGGTTGCCATTTCCTTCTCCAGTGGATCACATTTTGTTAGAACTCTCTGATGCTGGACTTAAATGGACTCAAGAAGATGATAGAGGACAGGAAGGCCTGGAGGAACGTTGTCCATGGGGTTGCGATGGATCGGACACGACTTCCCAACTAACAATGACAAAATGTATGCTTAGTAAATTGCTTTAATTGTTTTGCTCTTCTTTTTGAGAATTCCAAGTCAAAAATTTAGTATGAACTGTCGGAGTATTAATTGTCCAAATATCGCTGTCCTGAGTTTTTAAAAGTATAATTTTGCAATAGGAAGATGGATGCTTTCTTGTCTCTTGTGCATATCCTGGTTCAATACATCATATGAACACTAAACATCATAAAAATGCAGGACCTGCCCTTTCATAGAAGGCTTTTAATCATATTGCTACTGCTGAATATTTATCCACAAACTGAATCCATACAAGATATTGTGTACATAAATACACAACTGTACCCAAAGATGAATGATACACATACTTCCAAATGTTTACCTCCATTATTGTAATATCCAATTGGATGTTTGGCCACATTTTTCTTTTTTAAAAAAAAAATCTAATGTCATTTTAACATTACTATATTTTTAAATATCCTTAAGTTAACTTACTATGACAATCCATTACAATTAACTTGCAGTCTATTTCTTACTTTTGATACCCTTTGCCTTTTTCACATACAATCTATACTTATATATATTGCTAAGAATATGTATTGAGTAAGGATTTCATCTTAACTGGAATTGCAGTTTTGAATATTATCCAACAGTAATTTTTCCAGTACACTGAGTAATGTAAAACCTAATATATCCTGCTCATTTTTCATCTAGCAAGCTTTAATTTTTGAACATCTCCTTTTGTACCTTCCCTTTGTTATTCTTGCCTAATGCCAACTATACTTGTAAAACTGTTCAAGAAATAAACCATCATTAAGCCAAGTGGATTCCCAAATGAACATGTCCAAATAGTGAGAACAACTCTGAATTCCTTTTCATCTTCCTGTGTTAGAGATGATGTGACTAGCAATCAAGAAAAAATATTATATGACTAGCAAGTAAAGAATAAGCCTTCCTAGCACCTGTTTGGGATATTTGTCCTTGCTTCGTACTAAATCTTATGTACAATATTTTATGACTTTCTTACACCAGTTCTTTCAAATTGTTTAAGCTTTGGGCTCAGCAATCTATCCTTTTGGACAGCTCCATTGTTATATCCTCCATCATGATAACAAGGCAGAAATCAGGGAAAAGTAAAATTCTCACTTCCCTTTGCAAATCTGCAAAATCTCCCACCATACAAAGTTCATGTCTGAGATTAGGAAAATACTGAATCTTGAAGGTTGATCAATTCAACCCAGACCTCCAATCTACCTGTTCTCTGAGTTCCAAAATCTGGAGTGATGGTTGTAGTAAATAATGCAGAACTTCCTGTGGGACGTGGGAGGAGAATCTGAAGTCAGATCTTCTCCTACAAAAAAACTGCCTACCTGCTGCCTCATTCTTTCTCAGTTCACTTTCAGAATGAAATTTTGGATGTTCTCCTATATTTTGCACCTTTGGGGTGTGTCTCAAGAGCCACAGAAGTACAATTATTACACCCCTTAGATTCACTTAAAGCTCTTGCTGTTTTAGGGTTCTGTTGATTTAATATTGGTCTTGTCAACTTTCTATTGCTTTGATTATGAGCTATACATGTTTTGGAGATTTGGATACCAAAGATAAAATGGGGTATATTTTAAGTGAACAAACTTTGCTTGTAACTAGGTAACCGAAAGCAGACTAATAAGATTGCTTTCAGACAGGTGATTCCTAAAGCTAATAAATAATTGTTCTTTGATAAGCTATATGCAGAACTGCAATTAATTTTCATACCTTTGAAAACAGTATTTTCTTCTCAATCAGGCTATAACTCCCACATGAGCACTGTTAAAGGGAATTTGAGAAATTCCAAAGAAAAAAATTCCCTGGCTCTGAGTTCAAGCTCATCTTGATCACAGGGACAAAGACAGCCGAAGCAGGCATCTTTGCTTGCCCAAAAATAACAGTAAAAAGGCTACTGTTTCCTCACATATCCTTTATCTTTGAAATCCGTACCACTTGTGCAATTTTAAGATTAAGATATTACCTATAAGACTGAACTGTATTTTAAAGAAAAAGTTTGTTCGAATGGTTGATTAAGCAAATGAACATCATTCATTCTAACCAGGAGCCTGAAGTAAATCGTCTATTTGTATACAGAAGTAAAACATGCATCATTTGTTTTCATGATCCAAGATGCAAAGAAAAAGCATGCAGTAAACAAAAAGATCACAGATCCTTTCACTCAGTGTGTTAAGGAATGAGAGCCTTCTTTCAGATAGTCCTAAATTGCCACTTTTCAAAATTCCCATCTAGCATAGCTGAGGATACTAAACTATAGAAGGTTATGATCAAGTTATGTGATTGCCAAATAAGTCTCACAGACCTCAATGAGACTTCCTCTGGGGTAAATTAGTGTAGGACTGTGACTCAATTAGCCTTCACACCTCTTCATTTTGTATTCTTCATTCCAATTAAACACAAGTATACACATAGAGAAAGTTATGGAAATAAGTTTGCAAAATAGGACTTTGCAGTTTTCATTGTTTGGAAACTTATTATAAAGTTTTAAGAATCAAAAATCACTGAATAATTTCGTATTCTATCACAGCCTTAATACTGTAATAACAACAAAGATATTTGCAATGAATGCCACACAATGTTTAATTTCCTGTGGGCAGAATTTCTTAGCAGAGAGGGGAAGCTATTTCTGCGCTTTCCTAGAACCTTTATTAAATTGCTATATCTCAATATTGATCCATTTGTATTACAGCATTGATTTTATAGTGTTTGTGACAGATAATTTCACGTGATTATAGTCAAACTCTCAGTCAAAGGCATTACACAGATTTGCCAAGTCTCATTACAACTATTCCTCTCTGTCCTTTTCCCTTGGACAGTGTGATCTGTGACCTTGTTTGAGTGCAGTAACTAAGCAAGGTTGAATCCTTAATACTAGAACAATACATTATCAAGGAATCTCAGAATTCTGCATACATCCTGCAAGAAAATAGAGACAAATGTGTTCTACACTATTGCCAATAAAACAACAAGGATGCTCTCTGGTAGTCACCAGGATCAAGTTTGACTTACCTTTTAATATTTTTCAGTTTTGGTCTTTACTGCTGTGATTATGCAGAAATAATTAATGAAGGCATCTCTCATCCTCATCTAATCCTAATCAGAGAATTGCAGTAGATCTCACCTCTCTCTTTTGTCTCTGAATTAGCAACTAGGAAGAGTAAGTTATCTTCTCTCATGAGGACATCTCTAATTTAAATCCTCTTCTAAACTTACAAGAATGATTTCTCTTCATCTGATTAGGATTATAGAAGATTGAGAGGGACAGATTGCTAAATGAGAGAGAGAGAACTTGTGAGTTGAGTGTGGTGCTCTTCTCCCTTGCATTTGAATTCTTGGGCAAGTTATTCATTGGTCAACTGTTTTGTGAAAATGGCTCTTGTACCTTGCTTTATTTATTATATCAGCTATATTGTCAATAAGCTTCCATTCAGTTTCCTTCTTGTCATTAATGACAAATATTATGGTAATATATAAATGTTAAATAATACTAAATGATAAAGGGAAGACTTTATAACATTTAATATAATACTGTTTTGTGGATTTGTGTGGTGTGTTTGCATAGGCATGCAGTGTTTTGTCCAAAATACTTCATGCATTTATAGCTGACATGAATAATTAATAATTTACTTTATGTGTTCAATTTCCCATCTCTCTTTATATTACAACAACAAGGCTAATAAAGCAAGAGAATTCTTAAGCTAAAACCAAGAGAAAGAATAAAAACAAGAAAATGTGCTCTCCCATTAAAAAAAGCAAGCAAGAAAAAGACATCTGAATGATTTGGCAAGCATTGAAGTGTATTAATTGATCAAGTAAAATGTACTTCAAGATAAAGGGCCTGATTCTTGTAACTGCTGAAAAAACCTATAGTGAATATGTGGTGGAAAGCATAGACCAAATCATAGATGTATGGATGTGTGTGTGTGTGTGTGTGTGTGTGTGTATTCTTTCTTTATTCATTCATTCATTCATTCATTTATTATGCTGCCCACTATACAGATTAAGATTTTAAAAACTATACTGAAATCAGAACTAAGAGGGGGAGCAGGGGGTGAGGAAGAGATCTTCTTACCCTGTCAAGCACTTCCAGTGGTGAGTGCTCCTCTCAGGGCCCCAGGCAAGGCAGCAAAGCCAAGTTTTAATACCTTTCTGGAAGGCCAAAAGGGAGGGAGCACTTCCAATGGTAGAGTGTTCCACAGGGATTGGAGCTCAGCAGAAAAAGGCTCGTCTCTTGGAACCTCCCTGCTGGAATTCCTTGGTGGGCCTCTTACTGGTGCAAGCGGGAAGGGCTAGTCCCACTGAGGAGAGATGTCTCCTCAGATAGCCTGGATCCATGTCATATAAGGATTTAAGGTAACAACCAACATCTTGAATTGGAGCGGGAAGCAAACTAGTAACCAACCACTACACAGCCGTGGGGGCTCCCAGGACTTGTGCACCACTGCATTATGTACCAGCTATACTACTTGTGGCTTCCAACTATTCTTCAAGGTTAGTCCCATGCAGACAGTGTTGCAGTAATCCAACCAAAAGATGACTGATATGTTGAAGGTTAAGATATTGAAGAATACAATACAGTATGGCAGGCAGGGTGTAATACAGATATAAGGGAAAGATCTTTAGTGCATCAATCCTGGTTTCAAAGTAATAGGCAACTTTAACTGAATGCCAGAAACAAACTGGGAACAAGTGTGGATTGAACCACCTTAGCAGCTCATAGTTCTGACTGACCTATCTCAGACACCAGCATTTTTCACTAGTTGATATTTTCTGATGTTTTTTAAGGGCAGGCACTTATATTGTACATTAGAAATTAGAAGGATGGAGCTAGTCAAGCACAGGTCACTCGAATGATCTGGCTTGCATCTCCTTGGGAAAGGTACTAATACTCTTCAACAAACCAAGTATTTAGTAAAGGTCATTGCTAAGACCTTGCCATCACTGTAAAATGCCATTGATTCTAGAGATAAACTGGATTTCCATCTTTATAAACAGTGAAGTTTCATCAACAGTAAGTTGTACTTTGAACACTGCATGAACAGATCTTCCAAGAAATAATATTTCCATCTTGTTTACACAAAGTTCCAGTTGTTCCATGTAATCATTTACCATGATCAGCTACTAATCCAGATTTTCAATGCTTTCTTAGAATCTCATAAAAATGAGTAATCTGTTGGGCATCATCAGTGAAGTAACACATTAGCCTTACTTAATTTTCAAATATATGCTACAAACAAGAGAGAAAATGTAACTATGTAGCATTCCATAAGCAAGTAGCTATGGAAGAAGAAAGTAATCCATCAGAACTGGTTTTGGTCTCCATTGCATTCTCAAAAGTACACATTCAAATATTGAATGCATTATCTACTTCTGGGATTCCCATTTGCATCTGTTTGATGTAAAAACTGATAGGAGGACTCCATTACTTTAGGTCAGATCTAGAAAGAATCTTATATTCTTATCTTTATACATCTGGAACACAATTCAAGATACTAAGTTCAATTATCTAGAATAACACTGACATGCAAAGAAAACAAAGAGATAAAAAAAAATTTGTGCACCTACATCTATTATTGGTTAGGCAGAAAATGGGAACATTTTCAATCCCTAAATTGAGTCGAAGGTAGTTGCTTTCTGGATCACTTTTCCCTTCTTGACATTTTTGAACAAACGCAACATACCCTAAGATGTCATATAGCAAACCAAAATAGGCAAGATATTCATTTTGTCTTGCTTCTACTTTTCCTAAGCATTTTAGCTTTTCTAGCAAGAGTATTTGCAGCTTTCATTATGACTGATACACATCCATTTCTGATTGAAACTTGGGTTCATAGTTAAATCTATTGGCACATAATGACCATGTCGAAGTATCATCCTATAAGATCCCTGTTCCAAGCCATCAGCAAAGAAATCAGCACTCAAAGGGTTTAAACAAATGCTTCATGCTATTAACATTCATTCTGTTCTCGTTGTATAACAGCTGTTCTTCTATTCATTTTGATTGGATCAAATCTTAGCTGTTGGCATTTCAATCATGGAATGCCACCACAATATTTTCCACAACTAATTTAGCTCAGATGTATTGAACCATATACAGTAAATTCCTTTATAAAAGCACAGCAAAATTTTACTGCCTTTGGGACCATTTGAGATAGGTTATGTTAAATGTGCAAATCTGCAATTCTATGATTTTTTTTTAATCCATTGAAAATTGATCCTAGTGGGAAATCTTTTGAGAGCTAAAGAAAAATCTGACCAAGTTATTTATCTGCTCTCAACAGCTTCAGCCTGTCCAATAGGATAGAGGGAGTGAAAGTTTTGCAACATCTGAAGGGAGATAGATTTCCCTGCTGTAATGCATCTCTGTTTCTGTAAAAGTATAGATATTTTTAGTGCTTCATTAAATCACGTTGACATATCTTTTTTCTAGTGATATTTGAGAAGGATCAGCATCCTCAGTATGGAAAAGCTTGTGTGAAGAATGGGATGAGCAACTCCTTCCATATCTTAACAGAGAAGCTACTACCGGTAAATGGCAAGCAGTTGTATTCTGTGCTTATTCTTAGTTTGTGCTTATAACGTGCTTTCTAATTGCAAAACTAGTATTGTTAATCAAATATCTGCTTTTTTTCAAAAGTGCAGAATTCACCCTTTGCTTGTTTGTTTGTTTGTTTGTTTGTTTTTATGAACCAAGTGCAATCATTGGTTGCAACAGGAATTGACCCACCGGCTTGTCGCCCAAGCCTGATCTTATGGACTGACAGTGACTGGCTCAAAACACTCTCTATGGATTTAGGACTTTTCCTTTCTGTTGGTACTGTATTTACAATCCATTGGTATATTTTGGAAAGACTTTGGCAACAACAGTCAAAGGTTGGTGTGGACTTTGAAAAACTATAAGTTGTGTACCCTAGTTGAACTGAGATAATTTTTCCCCTAGGGTCTTCTGGAGTTATCCAATTATTGTAATGTCAAAGTAATGTTTTATCTCAGTTCAGTGATGGCTGGGTGACAGTATAAAAATGCTATAAGTGAGCATTTGAAAAATGCTCTTACTCTTTCATGCAGGAAGAGTATTAAAAATGTGATTGCTGTCCCTGCAGTTTCATGGTATCATCATTTTCCATCTCAACTTCCTGCACAGATAGGTTCTTTATGAAACTGTTTGTTAAGATGAATGGTGAATTTTTGAACACCATGCTCAAGCGACAATTAATCTGTCCACTATCCTACTTAAAACTGTAGGCTTCTTTTCCACAGGCTTAAGTATTCAAATGTGAGTCTGTCACAGTCAAGTCAAAAGTGAGAAAAGTCTGGGCCAATGTGACCATATCATTAATCAGTGTAAATCAATCTTTTCTAGGTTAATAATGTGTTTTCCAAGGACTTTCATGAATTGCTTTTGCTAAACTACTCCTTCATGGTTCAGACTGCATCTGTGCTACACAGCCCAAGTGTACCTCTTTCTTACTCCTGGAAATATGACAGTGTTTATACTGGATTTCCCAGTATAGTCAGCTAATTACACTAAGTCATCCTTCCCTAAATGGATGCATTTCTCCATAAGTCTTGAATTGCTCCACACTTGCAGACATCAGTCCAGGAAAGGCCTGATCTTCCTAAACAGTTAGAATGCAGTATTGCAGGCTAACTCTACCCACAATTTGGAGTTCGACCCTGACGGGTTCAAGGTTGACTCAACCTTCCATCCTTCCAAGGTCAATAAAATGAGGACCGATTGTTGGGGGCAATATGCTGACTCTGTAAATCTCTTAGAGAAGGCTGTAAAGCACTATGAAGCAGTATATACATCTAGGTGCTATTGCTATTGCTAGCTATCTTCATTTCTATTCCAGGTAACTGAATCACTTAGACATAGTCATAAAGGATGAAAGTTGGTTTCTAGTTGGTAAAGGTGATATGACCTATTGACAATCCCTTGAACATAATGTTTGTTTACTAAAAATGCTAAACGTTATGTGATGATAAATGCTCCTATGCTTACAAAAGTGAGTAGAAATAATTTTTGAAGTGTACCATGAAAAGACATGCATCACATAGTTGCACAAAGTCAAGGCTGATTTTGTCACCCTGTTGAACATATAATCTCTCTGTAAAATGTGTAATCTATCCTGAGTTAATAGAATAGAATAGAGCTGGAAGGGACCTTGGAGGTCTTCTAGTCCAGCCCCCCTCTCAAGCAGAAGAACCTATGCCATCTCAGACAACTCCAGTGATGGAGCACCCACGATTTCTGAAGGCAAGCTATTCCACTGGTTAATTGTCCTCACTGTTAGGACGTTTCTCCTTAATTCCAGGTTGCTTCTCTCTTTGAACAGTTTCCAACCATTGTTTTTTGTCCTGTCCTCTTTTTTTAATCTTTTTGTATTTTTGTTTCCAGGCAGAGATTTGCACTGACAAATGACATAATGTCTGATGCTCACTTCATTCATTCATTCATTCATTCATTCATTCATTCATCCATCCATTCATTTATTCATTCATGTATAGGTTGCTCACCTTACTATGGAAGTAGTACTTACTTATTTAAAGATCATGGGAGCCCTTTCTGGTTGAAACCTGGAATAGCTGAATCAGTCAAAGGATACCAAAAGTAAGCAATGGCTGAAGCATATAACAATATTACCATCAGACTATCTTTTTGAAACTTGTTCCCATGGATGAAAAAAGAATCTTAGGTTTCTTATAGAGCTTGTAAGCATAATTGAGCCTGGCAATTACAATCATACATTCTGACAGTTGTAAAGCAGATCACCACATGACTAGACCTGTTAATGACTTTTTGAAGCAGCCATTAAATGAACACCATGATAATTAAGCAACCACTGTGGTCATTAATATCACTGTAGACATTTTTGCTGGAAACTGGAAGTATGTACAGAAATATATCCACCCACTTTTATTGCAGAAGGATAAAACTGATTTGCCGCTGCCTTCTTACAAGATATATTTCAACTTCCTAGTGTAACGTAAAGACCTGAGATTTTCAGATAAGTCATCTAGCCTAAACTTGCATAGCTTCTGAGCCAAAGTCAACCAGGTGCTGCCATCTATGTGAGTCTCACTGCTAAGAAACATACTAGCTTGTACATAATTTGTCATCTTTCTATGACATTCAAACTATTTGCTTGAGGCCAATAATGCCTTTTTCACTTATGTAGCAACTGTGCCCCCATTACATTTCCATTGCTCTCAGTCTGAATACATACTTGGCAGCAAATACAAACAAGTTGAATACAAACACCATACAAAAGGAATACAAATTCAGTTCCTGTGAAGTAGCCACTCTTGATCCTCAGCTTTTTTGGTTCCTTTCTCTTTGCAGAGGGTACAATCTTATAATATAGAGTTAAATCATGCCTGCAGCACACTGGAAAGACAGTGGCAAAATCAATTTATTTTTCACAACACAGCATAGCTATTTGAGAGAGGAGATTGGCTAGAGGAGTGAAAGATGTTCTTGTTAATAAGCTGAATGTTCATGATTACTACCCTGCTGAGCTGTGAGTCATGATGCCTAACAATAATCTTTTACTGCCACCTATTGAGAGCAATGTAATTCTAAATATGCTATTACAGAAACATACATGCAAACATGCCAATCATGCCATTATTTGGGAGACAAACAGAAAAGAAATAAAGTAAATGAAAAATTAATGACATGAAATAATAAAGAGAAATGTTAAGCAAAGTAGTTCATACAAACACCACTTGCTTTACTTCTCTTTATCTTGCAAACTATCCTTGCATTATATCCGTACACTGCTTCGTATGTTGCCTTTTGTTCTTTAAACTTTTCACCAGCTCATCAACTGTATTCAATCAAACATTCTTTTTCTTCTTAAGCCATTCACTCTTCCTTCAGAAATTGATTTTGCAATTCATTTGTCATCTATTGTCTCTATATGGCCAAACTTCATTTTTAAAAAATATTTATAGATTCAGTCTGCATTAATTATGGACTAAATATCTTCTGGTTTTATAATGCACTCTTAATTACGCCAATCATATAGTACTCTGTTTTTATGTTTCCCACATAACCATTTCCCATTTCTATATAATAGATAGGACAGAAGGTTGGTTTTACATACACAGTAATTTTCATGTTCTCCAAAAAAAAGTTTATTTTATTGATTACATGATTAAAATGCTGGCTTAGAAACCAGGGACCTGTGAGTTCTAGGCCTTCCCTCGGCATGAAAGCCATCTGGCTAGATCTGATCCAGGCATACTCTCTCAGCCCACTCCACCTCACCAGGTTGATGTTGTGGGGAAAATAGGCAGGAGTATTGGGTATGCTCGCTGCCTTCCATTGACCAAATATAGAGGGATAGAAAACTGTTGAAAGAAAAATCAGGTACGGTTCCAATAAAATGGAGGCTGCTTAGGAAAGAAGGTCTGTTTATTGAGGAGCAGAACCAGCAACAGCATACAGCTCTGGGACAGCTGACAAAATGGAGTTGAGAGCGGGTGGGTTTTTATACCTTCTTTGGGCTTTGTATTTGAGATGCCTATTGTGAAATGTACTTTGACTTGTGCTTGAGTGTGCCCTTTTGGTATTCTAATTATTGTTGCCTGACTCCCATTTTGGCTGGGAGGTCATGTCCTGTCCTTGGAGCTGGGTGGGGAATGTAGATTTTTCGAGTCGTTGTTTTTCTAATCCCATCAGCTCAAACCTTCTGTGGAGGCTGTGGCTGAAGGCGTTTTGCTTATGAATAGGTGGCCTAGTCTTTCTGAATATCCATTCAAAATCTCCTAACAACTGGCTTTTTTGTTTGAGGCTTTTTCCTATAGCAGGAAGACTGGGACTGTTTTCTGCCTTTGTTAAGATTTTTTCTCCATTTCTCCTTTAGGAGAAATAGTCTATCCTGCCTCTTTTTAATATTAAGAATAAATAATATTTTAATCTGGGGAGGGGGCTTTCCTACAAAACAAATCTAACTATATTAATAACTTCAACCAAAGCCTGGTTCCACCCCAAGCAAATTTCCTCTTAAATGCATGACAGAAGCTTTATTTATTTATTTATTTTACTTATTTATGAGACTTATATACCGCTTTAAGTACAAGCACTCTCTAAGCGGTGTACACCAGTAAGCAATGTATATATATATTTACATTGCCCCCAACAATCTGGGTCCTCATTTTACCTACCCCGGAAGGATGGAAGGCTGAGTCAACCTTGAGCCGGTGAGATTTGAACCGCTGACCTGCTGAACAGGTAGTAACTATCTTGCAAGCCAAAATGCTGTACCTGTACCTGCTGTAGGAGTGATACACAATGCATCATACACTATTAGAATACCAAAAAGAAACTGAGAAAATAAATTGCTACATGTCCTTATTTGAAGATGATTCTTCTTCCTGTACTATATAGTGAGTGCCTCAGCCCTTATAAAATGACACCAGTTAGTATGCAAGGCACTGACCCTAGAAAAACTAGTTTGCAGTTGAAAAATTATTATTGTATGGAAGTCCTATTAATTATAAAATCCATATTCATAGAATGTAATCTATACAATATTTATAATGTGTCTTGGGAAAGAGTGAATGTGATCACTGGATATTGAGGAGAGGGAACTAACCTTTGACTCTTTCATTTCTGATTTTTAAAATCATCCCAAAGAATAGTTTCCATAAATTCATACAGAAATACAGATACATATCCGTCAATCTCTAAGATAATTCTTACTTTGGAAAGTATTCAGCTGGAGCTGCCAGGCTGCTTAATAACTCTGTCTTTATCTATGCCAGGATAACATTTCCTGCCCCTACTGTCAATCTTTATTCGGTCTCCATTGCTGAATGAAGTCTGATTTGCAGCATATGAAAAGTAGAGTTGGCTCCTTTGGCTTTTTGTTCTTCCTTTCTTGCACCAACTAATGGAATAAAAAAACAACATCTACCAATCAAGGCCCTGGAGCAAGAATAAGGCTGGAACTGCCTGCAGGACTCATCCTCTTTAGCTTCTTCATGTGTTCCTCATAATCCCAATATATCATACTCCAATGTTGCATAAGGCTTGGAATTCTTTTCTTTTTAAAAGGTTTGGGGTCACCAAGAGAGTCCGAATTTCACTTTATTTTCCATTTCTCTCTCATCCTTTTGTTAAATAAGAAAGAAATGGACAAGTTCAAGTGCTTTCATGCTGTATTTGAAAGGTTATATTGTATGTATTATAGTGTTGCAGTGTCTGTTGTACCATTTGAAACATTTCTTTTTGTTTTTCCCTTCTTACTATGTTCATCCCTTTACAGAAGCAGTGATAGATGAAGTTGAATGTAGACCAGAAGACAGAAGACATCCTGCACAGTCTCTCTGATCCCCACCTGCATGGAGCATCTAAAGATTGTTTCTAAAGCTTTACAATAAAAATAGCATTGGCCTACATGGCATTGCTTGCCTAATTTGGTGTATCTTGAAGGGCTGGCATCAATCCTGCCAAGTAGGCTGGCATCAATCAAATAAACTCCTCTCCTCCTTCCTTTTATCTTCTATGAACTAAGAAGTGGCTTATCTGAGCATTTACTCAAATTACATCTTTTATCTGACTGTTGCCTTGGTAGCAGTTCTTCCTCCTATCCCTCAAGGTCATTCCCTCTTCCCTCTACGAAGGTCTATAGCAATATTATATCGATCCATTTCATTAAACTCAGTATTTCTAACACAGCAATATTGTATGTTTATATGAACAGTTTTTTCATGAAGTCACTTCCATTTTTCAATATTTCTGTTTTAACATGTCAGTAAATTTCCATATATAAGACAGCAAAATAATGTACTAGTCAAATATTTCTGCCATTTTGAAAGACTGCTTAGACTAGGCTAGATGCCATCAGCCTGAACATTTAAAAATAATTCAGCTGAAACACAGAGGAATATAAATAGTATAATTTTGCAAACAGTGTCTGAGACATGTACAGTTCTGTGACATCAAATTGACACTGCAGGAATATGAAGGTTTGAGCTGAAATGTTTTGAGACAAGAAAATAATCCCACTGCCAAAATCAAAATTAAAGCTTTTAAGTACTACTTTAGAGGAAAGGCAATTGAGCTGTGAGTAGAAAGAAGTGAACTATGAGGCATTTAAAATCTGAATAAACAGAGATTTCAGTTATGTTCTACTTTGGGGTATTCTACTTGGGGTATTCTACTTATATATTAAGTGTATTTATTTAATCATTATATCATTGTAATTAACCCCAAATTGGTTTCTAATTATATGACAAAGTGCTGGAGAGAGATCCCACAGCACATTTTCATCACGTATATGGGATACCTGAACTTATACATCCAAGAACTCACATAGCACGTGATCTTTTCCAGATATGTAGCTCATGTACAGATTTCTGCATTTCACTTCAACTAAGGGAAAAATATATTCCTCTAGCAAATGTTCCAGTCCCCCAAAAGGTTTTATTAACAAACATATATTCATATATTATGATGAAGAGAAGGAAGTGTGACTAGGATATTCACTTCTTGGTACATGAACTGCTATGTTATTCCAAACAGCCTTTACATACGGATAGACAAATACAGAGACTAGGGAAGTTATCCATCTGAATCTGTTCTGTGATTCTCCTTGTTTCCTAATTCAGCACTTTTTTAAATCTTCTGCTCTATAACATCTATACCTGTATCCTTGGCAATATCATAGTTTCATATTCAGTTTTGCTTTTCTCCATCTTATCTCTAGTAACACTCCTCTCTTACACCTTGTAGACCACAAGCAAAAGATTACATTAACATGAACAGATTTAATGCAGAATACTAAACAAGATGCACCTCTAATTTATCTGAAAAAATGGTTCTAAGTTCTCTGCATCACCATCAGCAATTAGTATAAAGCCAAATCAAAAGTAGTTCCTTTAAAATTATAAAAAATGGAAATAAGGGGTTCCCAGGTTATGCCACAGATGGAATCAAATTTGAGGCTCCAGGAGCTATTTTTAGTAGAAGAAAAAAGCTCATAAGGCAAACATATTTTTGACAACAGAAATAGTAAGGTATTTCAAGGAAAGACAACTATAATTGAGATATGTGGATTCCAGAGCCAGAACAAGTTGGAAATAATGCTAAGAAAGCATTATGAAAAACCTTCATGGAGTCCAGATGAATACCAGATTGATGTTAAGAGCCAGGCTAAAACTTTCTATTGCTTAGAAGCACACAGTAGCAAGAAAAGAACAAGGCAGATATTGATTTCATATATTAGTCATAACAATGCTAACATTAGTTTGGTAAACTAGACAGGGTTTTTTAAGTGAAGAAATGAATTCTCAACTTTCTAAAGTTTACTTTTTAAAAAAATCTGCTCAAAAAAATTATGTTTTGTGCTGTGAAATCGCTTTATTTTGTAACAAAACTCAATTATTTATTTATTTAGCATATGTTACATTAGCCAGGGAGACTATAATGCTAATGCAGAGTAGTAGTTTGGCTGCCTACTTTGCTAAGCCCTGTTTGGTTTGCGTGCTTCCCAAGTTGTACCACAGTAGGGCGAGTTAGTTCTGTACCAAAAAAAACTCTGATGTAGTTTCCATCTTCAAAAAAGGAAAAAAAATGGATCCAGGAAACTACAGACCTATCAGTCTGACCTCAATACCTGAGAAGATTTTGGAAAAGATAATCAAACAAGGAATCAGCAAACACCTAGAAGCAAACAAAGTCATTACCAAAAGCCAGCATGGGTTTGTCAAAAACAGATCATGCCAGACAAATCTTATTGCATTCTTTGACCAAGTGACAAAATTAGTGGACCAGAGGAATGGTGTGGATATAATTTACTTGGACTTCAGTACAGCATTTGATAAAGTAGATCACAACCTACTACTTGATAAGATAGAAAAATGTGGGTTAGACAGCATCACCACCAGATGGATTCGTAGCTGGCTGACCGGCTGTACTCAGCGTGTGGTCCTCAATGGAACTGCATCTACATTTGTATTGTATTTAATTTTGTATTTAATTTTATTTATATGCCGCCCAATCCCTAAGGACTCAGGGCGGCGTACAGAGTTAAAACAATCATAAAACAATAAAATAATACTGCGAGTCCGATCATATCCCGCCCCCCCCGGGATATGATGGGGGGGCGGGATACATGGAGGGAAGTGTGTAGTGGGGTGCCCCAGGGCTCTGTTCTGGGCCCAGTGCTCTTCAATATCTATATCAATGATTTGGATGAAGGGATAGATGGGGAACTCATCAAATTTGCAGATGACACCAAGCTGGCAGGAAGAGAGAGAGAGAGGAGGGGGAGGGAGGGAGGGAGAGAGAGAGAGAGAGAGAAGTGAAGCGCAAGTGCCTCTCTCTGTCTCTGTCTCTCTCTCTGCAAATGGGGGAGGAGGCTGGGAGCCACATGTGGCTCCAGAGCTGTGGGTTGCCGAACTGTGGTATACTCTAGGGTTTCCTGCCTGAGCAGGGGGTTGGACTAGATGACCTCCAAGGTACCTTCCAACATTATTGTTGTTTTTATTGTTATTATTATTATATGCCTTGTGATACTTGTTTTAAGTAAATACACTATAATGTTTTACAAAATTGGTACTCTATATAGAAGTGATACCCACTCTTACATTAAAGTTCAGATATAAGAAGTCTACAAAAACTAATACAAGACTTCAATGCTAATAATTCAGACAAAAGTCAGTAATGTTTGTTGTGGAGATGATGATATTGAAAAAGATGATGATTTAGGAAAATGGTGCTAACACAAATTGTCTTATCTATCCAAAAAGTATGGTGCCAGAAGGTTCTTTCTTTTTAATCTTCCTTTATTTTTGATAGGGGAAATGAGCGGATGTATGAGCAGGAGAAAGAAGGGATCTTGGTTCTCAAGAAAATTAGATTTGTCTCAATTACTTCCCAACCCAAGATTAAAGATTCAGTAACTCTTACTCATGTGCACTTTACAAAAAAAAGTAGGGTGGCTTTCTTCCCAGAATCAGACAGTAAATGGGGAGGATTAAAACAGATTTGAAAACTTCTTTTCTCCTCATCCATGTAGTTGATGGTTTTGTTAAGCTAGGATTTCTTTCTCCCTTCCTCACTTCTTGCCCCTCCGACACCAATAATCTTATTTGTTATGAAGTAAGTCAACCATTTATTCATCTATAAGCTTCATTTGAAAGAGAATATTTTATGATTTAGCCAAAAAGGGTTTTGCCAAATTCTCCTCAGCAAGCTAAATGGAAAGTAATAAATTTGGCTTCTCTATAATCAAGGAAAGATAATAAAAAATATATTTATGGGCCATCAACTACACAAACTGCTTACTAATTCAATTTTTCTTTGTAACTATTTTTCTCGTCATACTACTTTATACTTGCATCTTCATGTCACAAACAAAATGTTTCTTCACTATAACAAAAGTGCTGGTTTTGGTTTTTAAAGGCCAAAACATGGGTTTTTACTACTGTCCACAGGCATTTATGTGTCAATATGATTTTCCCTTGTGGTCTGCCAAATTCTATGCAACACCAGATGTTTAATTTAGTGGGAAGGGGAGGTCTTTTAATTAAAAGTATTAAAAGGCAAAGTAACAGCCTCCAGAATAAGTTTTTTTCTCTATACCAAAATGCCTCTGAAATTCATATGGATCCTAAAAGGAAACCAATGGGAGGGAGAAGTTCAGTTTTTGGTTTGGAAGTACAGTCAGAAAGAAGATACTAAGGATAGCAGAGCTATGCTGGAAGAAGTGATGAGGAGGGGAGAGCCTGGTTTCCTCTAAAGAAAAGAGAGCCCATCAGTGCATCCATTTCTTTTGAAGGGCAAAAACCTGGTCTGTTCAAGCCCTGCCTGGTATACAGTGACTTGCTCTTCATCCATTTTGCTCTCTGTCACGTGTCATAGCCATTTTATGACAGGTCTGCCAACAAACACTGGAACACTGATCTGTAGTTTTTGCAGAGCCTTCTCTCCGCGTAGAACAGGGGTCTTCAAACTTGGCCCTTTTATGACTTGTGGACTTCAACTCCCAGAATTCCTCAGCCAGCATACCTGGCTGAGGAATTCTGGGAGTTGAAGTCCACAAGTCATAAAAGGACCATGTCTGAAGACCCCTGGCATAGAATATTGTAACAGCATTCTTCAAAAGGCCAGATACAGTCTTCACACTTTAAACAAATCACATAGCCAACCTTTAAACAAACCATTTCTAAAGTTCAACATTTCTCCAGTCGCACTAGCTACATTTACAGCATGACCATTTTTCTACATTCTCACGGCATTCAAGAATTCATTTTCATTAATGTTTTCTGGGACACCCATACTTATATAGCATTAATTTCAACAGCAATTTTCAACACATCACCAAAATATTCATTGCAGCATACCCCAAATCATCCCTCTGATTTTTTTTTTAATTTGTTCACTCTGTATGAGGCTCCTTGTTTTGCCCTCTTCAACTACTTCCAAAATAGCTGTAATTTCCATCAAAATCATTCTGCAAATGAGCAAAATGACTTTTTGAAACAAATAAACAAGGCCTGGAGGAAAATGAGGTATTCAGGAAAATAAAAATCCTATTTTGTTTTTTAAATCTACCAGATGTTGAACTGGCAATCTTTTCTAGGCTAAGCAAAGATCA